GCTTGTTCCGCCCTCATGCTTAGTGCTATCCCTACTCCTGCCAGTCCACGAGAGCTGGCCGTCGGGTCACCAGATACATGGAGGGTGTATCTCGTCTGCTCTCTGTTTTGCCGAGGTGAGTTCAAGCGAATGACCATACCGGGATCCTGTATGCGTGTTTCGGAGACACAGCATACATCAATGGTACGAGATTCTAGGGTTTTAGCCAAGGAAGCCTGCTGACCGATTTGACATAGAGTGCGTACGTTGAAAGCTCCAATGTGTAGTTTGGAGCGAGGTTTCAGTAGACCTGGGACAGTGTTTTGTTCACTAGAATCGTTGGCTATGGTGACACTTGAGGAGGAAGCCGAAGGAGGTGGTTTAGGGTTGAAAGTCGATGCAGGAGGAATAATAGGAGGTAGTCTTAGTGACTTGAGAGCGTGACCGCAGTGCCCAAGGGACAACTGCTTGATGTCGGTCACATGCGACCTTTTTGTGAGTAATTTTTGTGTTAGCTCCGTACTTGTTGAGACCTTACCGCCGGAGATGGATATCCGTGGGATAAGGCGTGGTGTGCATTTTTAGGGTTGACCTTTTCTAACCACAACCCTCCTTGTCGGTAGGCAATATCTCTGTCATGCTGTTGTTGCTACCTTGACGTGGTGGTCGGGCTTGCCTATCGTGATGAAGCAACCGAGCTATACTGACTGGAACAACCGTTCCTCAAGGTCCTACCATGTCAGACAGGTCGGTTGAAGAGCGGTAAGACTAAAAGCAACAAACCGAATTCGAAGTCGTACTGCTGACTGTACAGAGGTGTGACAGCAGTAAGGTGTTTCCTTCAGACAACCAGCATGACAGCGATGCTGCCTTCCCACAAGGAGGGGTGGGGTTAGAAAAGTCGACCTTAAAAATGCACGCCTCACCTTACCTCACGGATTTCCGTCTCCGGCGGTAAGGCCCTTTTGAAGAACGGAGCTAACACGTCAAAAACCTCCCACGAAAAGGCCGTGCGCGACCGGCATCAAGCAGTTGTCCCTTGGGCACTGCGGTCACGCTCTCAGGTCACTGAAACCACTTCTAATCCAATTTCCTTTTCAGGTACTTCCAGAAGAACCCTTCCACGGTGTGGGCAACCGGGAAGTGATAACCGCCCTCATACCTCTAACAGCACGCAAGACCACTGTATTCATAATCAACCTTCCTCTTCAATTCCTATTATTCCTCCTACATCGACTTTCAACCCTAAACCACCTCCTTCGGCTTCCTCCTCAAGTGTCACCATAGCCAACGATTCTAGTGAACAAAACACTGTCCCAGGTCTACTGAAACCTCGCTCCAAACTACACATTGGAGCTTTCAACGTACGCACTCTATGTCAAATCGGTCAGCAGGCTTCCTTGGCTAAAACCCTAGAGTCTCTTTCCATTGATGTATGCTGTGTCTCCGAAACACGCATACAGGATTCCAGTGTGGTCATTCACATGACCTCACCTCGGCAAAACGGAGAGCCAACGAGATACACCCTCCATGTATCTGGTGACCCAATGGCCAGTTCTCGTGGACTGGCAGGTGTAGGCATAGCACTAAGCATGAGGGCGGAACAAGCACTGCTAGAGTGGATCCCCGTCAACAGTCGCCTATGTGCTGTTCGGCTAAACGGCTCCATAAAAACTCGGAAGGATAGAGACATACGTCGTTTCTGCCTACGCTCCCACTGACTGCAGCTCAGATGATGTGAAAGATGAATTTTACAGAAAGCTGTCCGAACTTCTTCAGAAAGCTAAACGCTCAGATATAGTACTCGTAGGGGGTGACTTTAATGCTCAGATAGGTAGCTTAAACCAAACAGAAAGGCATTTAGCTGGATATTTTAGCATTCCGGCACAGCGAACAGATAATGGTGACCGTCTGCTGCAACTGTGCTCAGACAATCGCTTATTTTTAGCAAATACAAATTTTAAGCATAAGGAGAGACATCGTCTTACGTGGCGACCGCCTGCACCAAACCAACGATGGACTCAAATAGACCATATTGCCATCAGTCATCGTTGGAGAGGGTCGGTACAAGATTGTCAGTCATTCTGGAGTACCTGCTTGGACTCCGACCACGCCCTAATACGGGCACGCATCTGCTTGCGCCTCACTGGACGCAAAAAAGCCACAGTAAAAAGACCCATTAGAACCGAACTGAGTAGCGAGGAAACCAAAAGTAGGTTCCAGGAACAGCTGAGGTCACGGTTAGGCAGTTCTGAAGACGAGGCTGACCCAGATGTTGCTTGGAATGAAATACAAGCAGCTGTGGAAACAGCAGTGACATCTATTAGCGACTTAAACCACAGAGTTTCAAAGAACCAGTGGATTTCTTCAAAGTCTATCACACTGATGGATTCTCGCAAACTCGTCCCATCAGGTTCTGAACATGATGAAGAGCGTAAACAAATCAGATCTAGGTTAAGAAAAAGTCTAAGAAACGACCGTGAGCAGTGGTGGGCAACGAAAGCGAAAGAGATGGAAAAGGCGGCGACTATAGGGAACACAAGACAGCTTTACAGACTAATAAAAGAAACTGGAATTAATAAGCCAAGTGTAAGTGAGATTATATCGGAAAAAGACGATACACTCATCTGCTCCCAGTCCAGGCGTTTAGAACGATAGGCGGAACATTTCAGAGAACAGTTCAGCTGGCCTTCAGCTACTCTACAACTACCCTCCATTCCCAGACAGTGTGAATGGAACATTGAAGTAGGTCCCCCAACTCTTGCTGAAGTTCAAAAGGCTATAGTTAATCTGAAACGAGGAAGGGCAGCTGGTCCAGATGGATTGGCTTCAGAGGTCTTTAAGGATGGTGGTCCAATTTTAGCGATTAGGTTGACTAATATTTTAGCTAAAATCTGGGAGTTAGACGTTATCCCATCTAACTCGTCACAATCACTTATCGTCCCAATATATAAGAAAGGGTCAAAATCATCCTGTGACAACCATAGAGGGATTAGTTTATCTAATATAGTATCTAAAATACTAGCCTCGATAATTATCGGACGCCTAACTAAGACTCGTGAACTGCAAACACGAGAGAACCAAGCTGGCTTTAGACCTGGTCGTGGCTGCATCGACCACATATTCACCATTCGTCAGATTCTAAAACACAGGCATACTTATCGACGTCCGACAATGGTGGTCTTTCTTGACCTAAAGGTAGCATTTGACTCGGTAGACCGCGAGATTCTGTGGCAGTGTCTGTCATTGAAAGGCGTACCCCAGAAGTACATAAACCTTGTAAAGGCTCTTTACTCGAACACTACTAGTCGAGTCAGAGCTTATGGCGAACTGTCATCTACTTTTGCAACCTCAAGTGGTGTCCGTCAAGGCTGTCCACTTTCTCCATTTTTGTTTAACTTCATCATAGACCTATTGATGGAAATAACATTCTCGTCTATTGAATTCTCGGGTATTGATCTCCTTCCAGGAGGTCCACTTATCGACTTAGAATACGCAGATGACATAGTCCTGTTTGGTGAAGACGCTGACAAAATGCAGAGTCTTCTGGTAGCACTGAGCAACAATGCCAGGATGTTTGGAATGCGCTTCTCTCCCTCTAAATGCAAGCTGTTGCTTCAGGACTGGTCTGCGTCAACACCTGAACTAAGGATAGGGAGTGAAGTAGTCGAACGCGTTGACAACTTCACTTATCTTGGAAGCCTGGTCAGCCGTATTGAGTTAGTGCCGGACGAAATTTCTGCACTGATCCGAAAACTCGTTTGGCTTTGCCAACTTACGTCACCAAATGTGGCGAAGGCGAGATATCCGTCTATCAATAGAAGGACGAGTATACTGCGCGGCAGTTCGTTCTGTTTTACTTTACGGCAGCGAAACATGGCCATCAAGAGTAGAAGACACTCGTAAGCTACTGGTATTTGACCACAGATGCCTTAGAAATATTGCTGGCATCTGCTGGGATCACCGAGTAAGTAATAGTGAGGTTAGACGCAGGGTATTAGGGAATGATGGTAAATCAGTTGATGAGGTTATGAATCTTCATCGACTGAGATGGTTGGGCCACGTGTTACGTATGCCTGAACACCGATTACCACGACGTGCAATGCTAACCGGTGTAGGGGATGGTTGGAAGAATGTTAGGGGCGGCCAAACCGAAACGTGGCATCAGTGCCTGAAGTCACTATCTTCTAGTCTGAGCCATGTTGGTAGATGCAGACTACTTGGTTGGGGTCCGCGTGAGTATCGTAACCAATGGTTGGAGACTCTTGATGACATGGCTCAGAATTGATCACAATGGCGTAGGTGTATACACTGTCTGTCTTTACTTAAGCTAAGAGATTAAAATCACTTCATATCTTTTTTCTACGAACCAATTCTTTCTTGTACTATATCTCTACATGCAATCTTTCTCTTACATGCTATGAATCCGGTGTTCATCTTGTTGTGCTTATGCAGTATGGCAACGTGGACCGATGCACGTATGTGCCTGGTCCTACGTTGTAGCTGACTGACTGACTGACTGTCATGCTGTTTGTCCGAAGGAAACACCTTAATGCTTTCACACCTCCGTATAGTCAGCAGTACGACGCCGCCTTCGGACCTTGAGTTTGTTGCCTTTATTTTTACCGCTCTTCAACCGACCTGTCTGACATGGTAGGACCTTGGGGAACGGTTGTTCCATCCGGTATAGCACGGTTGGTTCGTCACAATAGGCAAGCCCGACCACTACGTCATGGTATCAACAACGGTCGGGATATCAGATTGCTAGTCCTTCAATGTTACTATTCTTTCCTTTGGGTTATTTTGTTGCAACAGAAGTATGTGTAGTAAATGTTCGAGAATCGCTAAGTTTTAATAAAAATGACCTGTTTGTAAAGAGCTATCCTGTTACTAAATTCACCCATGGACACATACCTATTAATATTGAACTCACTCAGAGATTCGCTTCCAACCCTATTTAGTTTCATCACTATAATTTTATTCGTCATTCTATCTTATCGTTTGATTTTATTTAATAAAAGCTGTACAGTGTGTGGATCAAGGATCACCCCGCAGATGCGGTGGACAGGGCGATGTTCTATCTGGTACAATGTCAGTCTTCAACTACTGGTTTCACCAACTTAAGGATAACAATCCGTAAGTTACAATTGCTTTTTAGCAGTCAATAAAATATCAAGCATATGACGTACTTCGTTATAAATGTACTCAATTTACATTCCTCATGTGAAACATGAAAATGGAAACGTCTCTGTGTTGTTTTTATGTTTATCATGGGTGCACAAATTAATTACCTGCTCACATTCTAGAATGTAGGACATATTTACGGTGTAATGGATTAATATTTCTACCCATTTGTACAAATCGAATATGGAGCTGACCTTAAGCATCCATTTAAAGGTAAATAGCTAAGCCATTTAACTATGTTAATATGGGAGGTATGTCAGTGTGTATAAGAAGGCAAAGAATAATTAGGAATTTATTCGAATGTTTTGACAATTCAAGTTGACGCATTTCTCAATAGTATAAAAACCTAATTTAGTCGAATAAGTTCAATAAAAAGAAAGAATCAAGTTGACTAGAACTATATCAACATGGAGTCTTTAATTATTAAAGACTCAGTGGATGATATATGTACACTGTCGTGACTGTCGCTAACGCATTTCATTCAAAGTAATAAACGTTTCGTAAACCCTAGTTACATCACTTGCAAATCCGACGACAAGGAGTTTGGGGGAAAATTCTGGAGTGTTGCTATTTATTTCTAAGATAATAATAATATGCTTCGAATTTTCTGTTCATTTACCGATGTCAAGGATGTCTCATATGTTTTTATCTTGGGAACCTGTGAGACCAGTGTTTAACCTCTCCAGAGTTAGTCACGTATTGTCTGTCCAAAAACGTACATCCACGTAAGTGCAACAGAAGTTACAGAATATTAACTCTATAATCAACTGAATAACATTATGAACCAAACTCAATATTTTAAAGAGGATGGCTTGGTTTTTCCTTCATGACTTCTTATCTATTGCAAGTTTAAATGTAAGAGGTCCTAACAATGATATTAAGTATTCTAGTAAATCCACTTATCTAGATAGGTCGATAGACGATGTAATTATAGTCCTAACAAGGATTCTTCCTTCGGGTTTCGCATACCTAATTCGTCTCTTGCATGAATTAGACATTAGAATATTTATTGAAAGCTGAGTCTAGTCCGATGGGGTTTATTCGATGCTATTTTCTTGTCGGTAGGATATGGCCACTCGATTTACGAAATGTGAATATTCCAGATTTTAGTCGCTCCAACCTTCTTTACAAAACAAAGGTTTGAATGTATAAGTTATTAAAACGGTCAAACAAAAACATCCAAGGCACGTCATCATTGTGGCATATGAGACGTCCGTTATCAGTGGTTAAAAGCTTGAACTGAGGTAGCATGAGACTAGTCTAAGTTTCACATACAAATCTGTTCACTAAAATTTCGAACATCGTATTAATCTTTACTTCTTATTTCATGCAATTGTTTCCCTCCATTTCTCCAATATTATTGGGACGATTGTTCTCATTTTTCATTACTTCTTTCTTCCTAGTGTGCTAATTTTTAGCACGATAAATCGAATTTGCACACACATGATGGATTTTGCATAATTTTACCACCTAAATTGATAATACAGTAGTAAACTTACTTTGATATATATATATAAGTAACGAGGTCTAGTTAATACTATTTCTTGGTGTGTTGTTGCAAATTGGTATTTGTACTAGGTGCTACATCGTTTATGATTATATACACATAACTTTTGTTTCTTTTTCCATTATTAAAATTTTCTAGGAATCTACTGTTTACAGCTACTATTGGAGCTGCATTTGCAGCTTGTTCTCTTACACGAAAATGTTCACAATTGGCATACGCTAAATACGGTCGTTCTATGATAACTACGCAAATGTTGCCAGAAATACATAATGCATTCGAACAACTATTCGCTAAAACACCAATCGCATGAAGCAAAATACCACGCTTTTTTGTATTCTTAACAAACCTGATTGAGTTGTTTTCATCAAATACGTATTAACTTTGTACTGGAATTGACTAACAAGTCCCATGGCAATTCTGTTTAGTCTTGTAAAGGATGTAACTTCTTGCATCTTTGATACTGTCTTCCACAAATTATTGTCAGTAAGTGGGACTTATGCCTAAATTCTAGTTCAAGTGTGACACTATTTAACAAACGTCGTTAGAATTGAGTCGATTCGCTTTAATAATTACAGGCCATCTTGTCCGACTGGTTCCCGAGACTTTTATAACCATCCTCAATCACATTTCCGGTCGACTACCATTCCGCCAAAAGATTGTATTTACCTTCAAGAAGTATGCAGATTTGTTTTCGAAATTTTATTATAAAGTAAATGGGTTGTTAATACCACAATAACTTAAGAAGCTCCTAATGATAAGAAATTAAGGCTTCGGTTAACGAGTTTGGTTTTATTACTTGAAGTCATCTCAAATAGTCCGACAACATTGTACGGAATTAAAGCTTATATTTACTGAAAAATGTATGTACTGACCGAAGTCACTAACATTTCAGCGTTCGAAAGGAAGAATAATGACGTGATAGTGATGTGTTCGATTACACTATTTCATTTCAGTAATCGTAAACCAACAGAGCTACTAGGTATATTTATGTTCATTAGACATTTGTTACACTTGCACTGTTTCCTGTGCACTACTAACAATTATCGAGTCAGCAAAATGATCACTGGACGGCGTTGTAGTTGAGCATGAGTTATGAGTAAATGGGAATTCGGCGAAATGAATTGTTAGGTTAAATAATAGTGTTAGATCACATGACTGAGGAAATTAGGTATCAGTTTAATTTACAGTTTTAAGATAGATTCGGAAAGGAGACAGACGTTTATTCCAGCTGAAATGCTGGTAGCATTAAAAGAACACGTTATAACCTCCGACTGTGGTTAGACCAATGGACTCAGCCAGTTGATTGCACGGCTGACGGTCTCTTGTACATAAGTCTCAGTTATTTATCAAAATTTCAATACAACATATCTAGCTTGGTTAACAACCAAAAAGAAATAACTACGAAGAGGGAGGAAACCTATTGGGATAAGTAGAAACGTCTTAGAGCTTTATCGATTTTAGGTAGAATCCAGCCCCTAATATTGGCATTGAGTTTGTCAGTGGTCTACTACACGTGATACAGATATAACAGTGTACATACTTCTCAAGTTATGACGGTGAACTGAGATTTACATTTAAACACTGTACGTCGATATTTATTTAATATATAAAGTGCTTATATCTGGGTTGAGAGCAAAAATGTGATTAATCTAATGATAATGGCAGGAGAATTGGCTAACGATTTTAATGAATTAACTGTTTAGCCCTAAGATAGATTTACTGCCAAAGTCATAAAAAACAAATCCGAATTAAAATAGATTTATTGGGCTCACCATATGTTGCACTACAGAATAGAGGATGGCTTTAGTGAGTTATTTGAGTAAATACATTAAATATTTCAAGCTACCCATTTGAACAAAAGTAAAGAAAAAACTTAAGAAGTAATATTTGAGTTTCAAAAATATTTACAAATATCTGAAGTAGATAAAATACAATAAATAATCTACAAAATAAAAGGTTTTAATACGGCATAAATAAATTACAAAGCACTTAGACGAGGGATTTTATTTGGAGGGCACTCAACATCATCTTTCCCCGTCTGAGAAGAAATGTACTCTTCCCTTTTGCTATCAAGGCTTAAATCATAAAACATATGCCGACCTCCATTAATGACCCACGACCGATTACGGCTGGAGGTACAAACGTAAGTAATTCGGGATTCAGTACTTCGAGAATGAGGGACGAACTGAGTAAAACTGTCCTTCTTGTAAATAGGCAAGTTTCTCAAACTTTCAGCCATTTCCAAAACATCATATATCTTGAACCTTGAAAAGTGGAAGAAAATGGCAAATAGATCAATGTACAAATCCTCACTGTGAAACAGGCTAAATAAGAATTTAGCCTAATTCATCAGTTCTATAAAAATCAACCCAGGTTTCAATTCGGGTCTTATTAAACCTTTAGGTAATCTAACAACTGAACCAATATGATCATTTACAATACATACAAACCATCTTGCGTCAAATGTGAAACCATTTATAAGTACTCAAATGAGAATACAGCTCATTGTAAAAAGTCCACACAGATACAACGAAAATGAAGTCCGGATTCAGGAATAAGATTTATTCGATTGGCTAAGAACTGAGTTCGTGATAACTGCAGTGTTAAAAATTTGCGGAGTTATGGTTGTGATACATGGCATCTTTCACAACTAACTTGGTGTCTGCTGTTTCAGAGTAAAACTGTCTTTACTAGAATAATTGAAGGTCAAATGAGTGATAACCTTTAGCTCGTAAGTCTGCAGGCAATAAACTTCGGTGTGTGCTTTTACCAATACTTACTTTATAACCTATAGTACAAAAAGAAACATTATACCTGTAATTTTCATTAAGCAACAGATTTCATAGGTTTTATGACAATTACACTAAGAATTGATATCAATTCATATTACAGGAGTAATCCCATTTCAAATAATGAGAAATATCTAGTTACAACCTTTAAGGAGTGTATGCTTATTGCAGCATACCAACTTCCTTAGATGGTCAATAGCAAGATGTTAACCCTAAGTCTCCGCAGAAACGAACGATCTTATTGAAAGCAGGTATAAGATATAAATGTAAAGAAAGTATTTACGGCAGAGCAATCAAACCATGAAAGTTGACTACAAATAAGATGCTTAACACAAGGACATTAGCAATTTTCATAAAAATAGCAGTAAAATTTGTTAACAAACTAAGCGAAAAGGTTAGTACAATCTAATGGGGTTAAGAAGCTTCCACTAAGTTAATAACGCCTTAGTAACTCATCCAAGTGACCTACACACATCAACGAAAATTAAAAGCAGACTAACAAGAAGTCTACATGGAGCAATGATAGGAAACCAAAATAGGTGACAAAGAAAGGTAATGACAAAAGGCGACCCTACACAACTATGTGGAAGCTTTATTTATTTAAACACATAAACATTAGTACAAGGAGGGACTAAATAGATATGCTACACATAAATCTTCCGATTTGTGTGACAGCTGGGATACTGTTCGGATGCTTACAGCGGGAGTCACACCCCATGTAGAAGCATTAGAAACTTTAATTAAAGTTATCTATCAGTACAACTATGTTTGAAAAACATGTTTTCAAACCAAACTACCGAAAAGACAGGATGTTTTGAGGGACAGGTACTTTCCAGCTACCCATTTTCATCAAGGGCTGTGGTGAGGTTGATATTAGACTCTCAACAGTGAGACCTAACCTTGATGGATTAGTTACAAACTCCTTTATGGATGGACGTTTAGTGCCAACAGTTACATTGATTGAGGTACTGTACCAGTAACCTGGTAGCTGTAGGTAATTCTATCAGGTTAGTCGCGAACACTCAGTCAACCAAACTCAACGTACAACTTGGCACATGTGTGTGGCTTTGAGTTACCACACGTCAGGACGAGGTGCCAGAGTAGTACTAGTAGCAGTGTCAATGTTATTAGAAAAGACAGATATGACTCGAGAAGACCTAGACTCGTGTAATAACTTCTTCAAGAGTACTGACTGTTTACAGGAACGACAAAAGTCCTCTTATGAAAGCTACAGAGAAATCAATCTTACCAATATTGTATTCGAAACCTTAGCTTCGAAAACAGCCTAATGCTAAACTGGAGGCTGTGGACAGTGACCCGCAGTAAAACTAAACTGGTTTTAGACATGAGTGAGCTGACTAAATATCCACTCCAAGTCAAGTTTATGGGTGTAAGCAAACCGACGCTCTTAACATTAAAACTTCATTTGTCTTTTCTGGTCAACATGATTTATGGTAGTCGCTGTCATTTAAAGGCATAAAAAGTATATCAACGTTTCGAATTCTACTGATCAAGAGCATATGGCAACCTGTCATCTGAATTGGTCATCCCAATTGACGGTCGATAGGGCTCTCCACTTTCTTTACCTGACATTTCAGGGATCAATCTAGCAAAATATTTGCAAAATCCAAATCTGTTTAGTGGAGATGCTGACATAACGTAGCCTCTTAAACATCATTGATAATAAGTAGAGATGGGTTTAAGACTTAGGACTGGTTCATATAACTACCCAGCTGGATAACCGAGTTTTAGGGAAAACAGGAATATTGACTTTCTACTAGTTGATTTTCTTTAACTTTCTTCATTTGTCTTTTTCGATCACAAAGTTTTCAGGAAGGAACTGTACTTACAAGCAGTACCTCAAAAAATTACAATGATGTCTAATATGTTAAACTACAACATACATGTGCAGATTCCATTCACTTTGGCCAGCAAGAGCATTTGGTGGCAGGTAGAAACTGAAAGGCGGAAATAAAAAACATTATAACTTTAAGTGTTCCACGGTGGATGAAATCTGCTCATACATTAGACAGATATCTAGTTAGTAATAAAAATAATTTTGTGAAAACAAAATGAAGAAACAGTGAAAATAGCATTAGCTCCACCGCCATGTGGATCAGACCTTTAGATCGAGGGCTCCGGGTGTGGCCCCTTTAAAAACCACCTGTTTCGGTTTAGGCACATGGTGTGTATCACAGCCCTCACACATACCTAATGAGATTTGTGTGGCGTCTTTGTACTTGATGACTTTCTGTACCAATATCTATGTTTTAAAATAAAACAATTAAATGAGTGATAGCTGGATTAGAGAACAAAAGTTAGGATTCGCCGACACGTTAAGCGCGCACAACTCACTTACACTTATTAATGAAAGCAATCAATAACAGTCGAAAATAGCACAGGCCTCAAACTAATACAACTTTAAAGTTGGAACTAAAACCGGATAGTTAAACCGGCTAAGAAGTGTAATGGGCAGCTCGATCAGTCGGCGGGATTGCTGTTGTAGTAAATACCCGAACGAGATCCGTACAAACTACAGTTCTATTAGCTTTCAACTAACTGCAGCTGCCGAAAATAAACGTATTGATCCAGATGAACAATTAATTAATAATCCCGAAAATAGGGTCACTCCCATCCTACCTTGTTGCAATTGATTGCAGCGCGGGTTCACATTGGCTTAAACGTTTTATGCCGTCGGCAATTATAAGGATGTAAGGTCCTTACAGCTTGTTTCTCATTAAAATCCAGGTTATATTTGAAAACTTTCACCGAGTTGCTGGCACAATTTTTTTCTCTCCATTATCTCTGTCCGGTGAGGAAAATTCAGTTTAAGGTTGGGAAGGACAGGAGGCTTGATGGCCTGTGTTTGTCCTGGCAATGGTGGTCTCTCAGTTGATCCAACTTTCTTTTGAAAGAGTCGACGGATGGAGCCTCAACTACTTGCTGAGGTAATGAATTCCACTCGTTGATGATTCGATGGGGAAGTCGATAGTCAGCTGACAAGTAATTTTTCCTGGGCTTGTGAACTATTTTGGAGTGTCCTCGTAAATTCTCTGTTTTGGGAGACAAGAAAAATGAGGGCATATCAGGTGCAAATTTATTACCAAGCAATTTGAAAAGTGTAATCAAGCCACCTCTAATTCTAGGATATGACAACGGTAAAAGTTTTAGTTTGGCCAGTCGAGCACCATACGGGAGCTTCGCTATTCCGGGAATCAGCTTGGCTGCTGTTCTCTGAGCCTTTTCCAAAAGCTCACTGTCTTTTTTTAAGCAGGGGATAGCCGCTTGTATGCAGTACTCAGGTTTAGGGCGTACGAACACTGTATACAAAGTCAAAAACGTTTTGGCGTCGACACTAAAAGCTCTACGTATTGACCATAACGTTCTAAAACCTTTGGCGGCTATTGCACGGCAGTGTGCAGTAGTCTTTAAGTCTTGACTAACGATAACTCCTAAGTCATTATATGTCTGGATGATAGGTAGCTCAGTGTTATTCATCGTGTATGTATCTGTACCATGATGACCGATATGCATCACGACACACTTGGAAGTATTTATCGGCAACTGCCATGTTTGAGACCATTCAGATAATTTCTCCAGGTCATTTTGGAGTTCTAAGCTATCACCCTTACATCGTATCGTTCTCCATATCTTGACATCGTCTGCATATAACAAGACCGATGATGATAGGAGATGAGGAAGGTCATTTACATACAAGAGCAATAGCACTGGCCCCAAAACTGTATCCTGAGGCAATCCACTAAGTACAGTTTCCCAGCTAGATAACTCTGAGTTCACCCGTACTGTTTGTTGACGCCCAACTAAGAAGTCTTTTATCCACATCAATAGATTACATTCAACCCGGACATTTCTTAACTTATATAACAGCTGGTTGTGCGGAACTTTGTCAAAAGCTTTGCTGAAATCAATGAAGGCTACGTCTACAGGTAACTTTTGGTCCTTAAAAGCGCGCCAGCTTTCATGAGCCACTAATAAGTTAGTGAGACAAGAGTAACCTATTCTGAAACCGTGCTGCTTCTCGGAAAGGAAACGCTTTTCATCGAGATACTTAAACAACTCATTTCGAATAATCTTTTCTAAGATTTTAACAACCACACTAGTTAGGCTAACGGGTCAGTAATTCTCAGGTTTGTGTTTCGTACCTGTTTTGAAGACAGGACATACTGTAGCGTTTTTTCAGTCTTTTGGTAAACGACCCTGCCTTACGGATAGGGTAAAGCATATACTTAAAGGGTTCGCAACGAAGTTAGCTAATTCCTTTAGTAGCCTAGGATGTAATTCATCGGGCCTCGTGGATTTACTCATGTCAAGCTTATATAGTAGACCAAAGACATTGAGTTCTTTGATGGTCACGCTACCCAGTGTATGTGTGGGAGAAGGGAGGGTTCTTCTATGGCATATACACTGCTAAAGTAGTTTGAGAACACTTGAGCCTTGCCAAAGTCGTCCTCTACTAATGATGCGGCAGTGCTGTCTCCCCGTAGAGCAGGAATATTTCTTCTTCTCTGTGTCCTTTGGTTTATATAGAAATACAAAGGTTTGGGACATTCTATGGATTCCTTAACAATTTTTTCTTCGTACAACTTTCTAGGCTTACGGAGGGTCCAGCACAGGTATTCCGAGCTTTTCGATACTGAGATTTCGTCCCATCAGTCCCCAGTAACCTAAATATATCCCACATTTTTCTTCTCTTACGGAGAAGGATGCGAACCTCCCTACTGAACCATGGTGGTGAGTTTCTCGGCCCCCTTGGTATAGTTCAAGGGATGTGGGGTGTGGTGACTTTTAAGTATGAATTTCGAAATGCGTCCCAGGCCGTTTCAATGGAGGACTCTGGGTCTATTGTCCAATCTATTAACGATGCTGAGTGCATGATATTTGGTATGTTTGTCTCCAGACGTTAGGTCTGGATTGCACTGACGCGTGCTCGTGACTGACAGTTATATGGAAGTCGAAAGCTAGAACTGTGTGATCACTTTTACCTAGGAGTGGCATATAATGGAGGTTCGCAACATCATCCTCATAGGGAGTCAGTATAAGATCTAGTAAGGATGATTCAGTTTCCGGGTCGTACCGTGTCGCTTCTTGCGCATGTTGCACTAGGGCACATGTGATAACCCCATCAACTAGTTCCTGCTCGAAGTTCTGACGGTTCAGTTCGCAGATTTACTCAGTACACCTTTAGCAAGGTGACCCTGGTGATATTTTGAAGCATGAGTTGGTTAAGCAGTTGTTTAATCAGCACAATGTCATGCTCAAAGCGAGCTTTTGGTTCAGAACTCTCACTCTCCTTGATTCTATGAAAAATAACTGATCCGTCACTGTGATCAGCTTTCGATTTTTCGACTACTTTTATGGGGGCAGGATTCCCTTTTATATCGCTACGTTGTTTCTTCCTTACAACCTGTATCCATTCGTCAACGGTGCTAGGAGAAGCAACAAAAGTTGCGTCAAACCGACTATTGGATTCCGGAGGGTTGTCGACGACCAGGGAGGTCAGGTCATGTTTCCCGCTAGAAACCGATCGGGCCTTGCGATTGCGGCTTCTAGGCGTTTCCTTCTAGATGCCATTTGGGAGACGAGAAACAGAAAAACCTTCTTTTCATGCGTTTCTGTTTACGATAGACCTCTTTGGAGACTGTTTTCCTTCCTTGATCGGTGTGAGTCACCTATTTTCGAACTCACTTGAGTTTGCTTCATATCAATTTGCGTGTCGACAGAGCGAGTGCTGTTTGATGTGTCCCGACTGTGCTTGGTAAAACACTTTCACAGAATCTAGCAGTGAGATGGCCTCGGTTAACAAGCTGTTCGCATCCGAACAGTACTGTTGACAAAGCCAAACGCAACCCTTTTTACTGAACCTTTTGAAAGCCGCAGGCGTTAAATTCGTGCAGACTTCGTGGTACCAGCCTTTGTACTCATCGCACTGCATGCCGCTTTCTACAGGACAACGACAACCCGGACGTTGACAACTGTTTTTTGCACTGTCCGGTCATTAGAAATGGGTCCTTTACAATAAAGTGGGATGCAATAATGCTCAAAGACAAGAAAGATTTATGACCAAAAAAAGTGGGGAACTGTAGATTGTTAGGACCGAAAGTACTAACAGATACGGTAGAAAATAAGGTGCTCAAGAGTACCAACGATAAACTAATTGAGAAACGGTAAACGATACTCTAATCGAATACTTTAACTGAAATAAATTCAATTAAAGTGAAAGCAGTAGACTTGATACGTAATAAACGATCAAAACAATAAAATGTACTCAGCGAGGAAAAATACCACTGTTCTTCTTATATAATTCTGACTCTGACTTTATTCGATCCCTGATTTTGGACCTTGGGATATTATCTCGGATGATCAATCAGTCTAAAGAAAGCAAAAGTTGTAAAAACAATGTTAAAGAATAGGTTGTTACTTAAGGTACTGAAGATAAAAGTGAGCTCATATAGCCTTACTCGAAAAGATAAAGGAAAAGTGCTACGCTTGAAAAGTCCATAGACTTTGAAAACATTTGAGTCCTTATGCATGATTTGCAAGAAATGAACCATCTACTTGGTTGGAAAATTCTAGCCAATGTTTCACAACATATGGAGTAAATTTTGAAACATTTTTACGTCAGAGGATGTAAAAACTCGACTAACTGATCACAATACTCGAAAAACTTTGGCAGCCGTTGCGTTGTGAAGGATGCTTAGCATGGCTTACCCACTCGTGATCTGATGCGGATGCATGACTGAGCGCCTTCAGTTATGGTGTGTTCAGTCAAACTAATGAGGTCAGTATCAATGTTAATAGCACACAAAAATATTCATTTTGCTGATTCATTGATTGCTGCAGTCGAGCATTAGACGCCTACCCTTGGTCGATATAAGTTTCTCGACTTTGATGTCACAAGCGCCATACATGGGGAGATAGGGAACTTCGTTTTAGTGTAAAGATGGAAATTGATCATGGTATTGGTCAACGCTTTTCCGATAACTTACTTTGACTAGTAGCATCTGGTGTGGACCATTGTTTCAGCGGTATTGTCCTTCATGATTACTGCCTCTGGCCATAGTGTGAAATGATCCATACATGTGAAGAGATAAGACTATTCATTTAAATATGGTAAAGTTTCCACCAAATCCATATGGACGTGGTTGAAGCGAGAGTCGGGAGTTTTGAATGGGCCTAGGAAACGTTCGTTCTGACTAATCGCCTTGGATTTGTAGCAGTTCACATAGGAAGACGCACTCCCTCACGTCTTTATTCATACCAGGCCAACACGATTGATCTCTCATGAGCTTGACGGTTGCACGAACACCTTCATGATAAAGTTTGTGCGAAGCATTGGAGAAGTTGTGTCGATAGTGATTCGGTACGATTGGACGATTCGTACCTTTTCCTATCTGTTGCCGGCGGCCTGCTTGAATATCTGAACTACCTATTTCTGCCATCTAATTATTTCAATACGTTGTCTGTTTTCACTTTGTTTTAATGTCTCATGATGTCTATTAATCGCATAAACTTTGCAGGCGCGTTTAAGAAAAGCCTACACCCTTTCGCCGCACAAGTTGCGAAAAGTACAATAATAGAAATCGTGGTGGTTGGCAATATGTGTTGAAGTGAAAGAATATCAATTTTATGTAGATTCCTGAGCTGCTAAATTCTAACTGGCAATCACTAATTAACAAGGTCGTCTATCCCTAATTCCTACCAAGCCGAAATATGTATC